CCCCCCTCCCCTTCTGCTCTTTCCGAAAAGCAATGGAGAAAATATTCTCAGGTGAGGATTAAAAAAAATTCTGCACAACAAAAGAAACATCAACCAAAAAATGGGGAAAAAATTTGTAAAGTATATCTGACAAGGAGTTAGTATCCAAAATATACAAAGAATTCATACAACTCAACAGCAAAAAACCCAGATAATCCAATTAAAAATGGGCAAAGGACCTTACCAGACATTTCTCCAATTCTAAGTTTTACAACCTGGTAAGATATGCATTTTAGGGTAAAATAAGGCTTAGAGTGGTTAACTGACTTGCTCAAAGTCACAAAACAAGTTACTGGCAAAGTCCAGATCATTGGAAAAGATAGATGCCCAGTAGTCTTGCCACCATAGCTCCTTATCTTCCCAACCAAACCTGCCTTTCTGGATTCCCTGCTACTATTTCTTGGCTTTGCTATTGACAAAGTGTACATTTCTAAGTTAAAACTTACTGCAATGGGACTGTGCTTGTCCCACTAGGCTCCTTTGCTAAGGTGAAAAATGGATCCCACCCAAAGGCACTCCATCTCCTCGGACCCTGCAGAGATAGTCACGTCTCAGGTACCGAGCAAGTCCAGAATTCAATCACCAGGTCTCCACATAGCAAGAAGTTTACAGTTTGGAGAAGACTATGAAAAGGTGTAGTTTCCCTGGCATTTCCTGGATGAATGACTATTAGGTGGGGCATGCAAATAAAGCCTTCTCACCTTCACAGCTCACAGCACCTTCAGAGCCAGGGACGACCTGGTCATTTGTCTCCACAAATCTGCTTCCAAAGAGGAAGGCAAAGGATTAAAAGATGTAAAAACAGGAAGAAACTAGAGGCAGCATGGGAGTAGCCTCTCCCCCGTCCCCCAGCAGGTCAATATCCTGACATCACTCCCCTATTTCTATTTCAGATTCTGTTACTTTCTATGGCTATCAGGGCGTGTATGTGTTTAAATATTTCCAGATTTGCTAATCAGGACATGTGACCCCTTTTCTTACATATGCCCCAATGAAAGACAAAGGAAGCACCCTGCCACCCTCTCAAAATAAAACACACTTGTGAAGACCCTTCCTGTAAATGAGAATAAATTTTACCCATGTATTCCTACCAATTTTTCTATCATTGTAATCGTAAGTTATCACTTCTGGAACAGCAAGACAGACACAGAGCTGCTGGCTAGACTGTGACAGATTATATTGAATATTCTTTAAGACAAGGTACAGGCAGGACAAATGCAAAGGGTTCAAAGGAAACAGATGTATAAAAAACAGTAGCTCACACTTTTGCTTTTCTGGGGCGCTAATTGTGAAAATGCAAAGGAAAAGACCTAAAACTTGGCCACCTCTGTTTAAGACTGGGAATAAAATGTTCATTTCTCTGCTGGGCTTTTAGGAGCTTTCTGCAACTTCAGCACCACGGACTTGGCACCGAAGCTCTTCTGCCACCGGTTTTTACCGCTTTAATGGACCAAGGGGAGGTGGGACAGATCCACTCCACCTCTGAGGTTCTGGTTGCCGGCTGGTGGCCAGTAGCAGCTCTTTACCTCTTGCCCTTGATGCCTGGCCTGTGCAATTAGCACCTCATTATAGGCTGGCCTCTCGTCTAATTACCACATGTGTCAATTGAGCATTTTATTTAATTGTCTTCTTCATGTACTAGTTCAAGAGCCTGGACTCTCCCTCCAGCTATAATAAATCCTAAACTCCTCTCAGGCAGGCATGTGTTTTCAGTTTAACTCTTCAGACCCACAAGAACACTACTCATGAGCATACAAACAAATACTTCCTGACTGTTTGAGGAACTTCTAGATGTCTATTCCGGGTGCAAGGCACGTGGTTGGAATCTGGGTCTCCATGCCTATCTCAACCCTCCATACCACCCTCCACCCACTGGCCTGCTCTGCTGTTGAGGGCTCCTGGGCTCCTTTGAGTTAAGCTTTACTCAGCCTGTATGTAACCTTTCCCTTATCTAAAAGGGCTACACAGAGGAATTTCCCATTAGCAACACGTTCTATGTTCCTCTAAAAAAAGATTCAAGGTATGGAAGTTTATGTTTGAACAGACTCCTTACTTTTGGAATTAAAGCTAACTATAGTTTATAGGGCAGTTACCAAGTCCATTACAAACATAGGCCTCCTTCACCAAATACTCCCGTAATGAAATGGGGCCTGGGGGGAGACGGCACAAAGGGATGGCAGGTGTGCAAGTATGGGAGTCAGATTACCTGGTCTCAAATCCTGGCCGTGCCACTTACTACCTTGGTCAAGACAATTATCCTCTCTGCACCTCAGTTTCCCAATCTGTAAAACAGATAACAGTATCAGTCTCATAGAGCTATTGTGAGAACTGAATCAGGTAGTCTTCGTAAAGTGTCTTAGAACAGTGCTTGGCATATAACAAGCAGTGGGTAAGCTGATGTTAAGTAGAATTAATAGAGCACAGAGATTTAGAATAGACAGACCTACAAAACAGTATGCTCCCCAAAGAACCTGACAGCGATGAAAAAATTAGCTGGTTTAATAGAATATTGTGCCATCCCTGGCTTCTTGATTTTCTGGCTAAAATACATTCTTTAAATTGCTTCAATAAACCAAAAAAGAACTCTGAACTTAGAGGTTTTAAAAATGTCGAATGCATTATCACAACAAATGGGGTGAAAATGTCCTGGCTGCACTGACGTAGAACAACTAGTGAAGGAGCCACTGTAGTAGAGAATTTTAAATGAACATCCTACTGTTTCCGCCTCTCACACCTACTTAGCTAACATGTCAGACATCCTTCATAATATTATTTAGCAAATACTGCCAACCCTTCTCCATCAAGGACCCTTTAGTCAGTTGTCAGGGAAACAGTTCAAAGATATGTTCCATATTTTTAAAGATATACTGAAAGATTTTTATGTAGAAATGATTCCGTGGTATCCAAACTCGGCCTTTTCTTTCTGTGCCTTTTCTGATCTGTCCATTTTGCTTCCACTTTTAAAATCGTCAATCTTTAGATATCCCTAGCTATTAAAATTCCACGCCCAGGGTCGCTCCTTTCTGAGCCATCTCTAGCACAAAATACCATTTTAAACATCATCGGTCCCTTGTTATCTCATCACAGAGATCCTCACATGGAATTCAGGCGTCTAACTAAACACAAAGGCATCTATGTGCCACAACAGGTGGGGCACTTCTGCTTTCATTAGGAAGGAAACCCTTCCAGCTTCACCTTTTTCAATTTCCCTAGAGGGCAAAGTCCAACCCTGCAACCCTGTCCTCCCTGTAAGGAACAATGTAGAGACCTAAGAAACAAATGATGTCTAGTGTACTAAGAAGTGACCATCTATTTGGGGGACTCAGCCGTTTAGTCCTTAAGAATGTGGGAGGGTATTTCCTTTCCCTACCGTCCTCCGACCTACCTCCCTATTCCACTGTGCTCACGAGTGCCACCATCCTAGCGCTTAGCAGCGGTGCTCTGCTGTGACATTGGCCCTGGGGCCTTCCCTTCTGCCTGGGGAGCTTCTCTGGGCGGACGTTGTGTTTTCCTTGTCTTAGTTTTCCAAAGGTAGCCCAAAGCCCACCTGTAGTAAGCTCCATAGTTATCTGTGAAACTGTAATGAAGATGCTATCTGCGAAACACCAAACATTCTTTGCATGATCGAGCCATCTTGTTTTGAGAACAAGCAGGTTCTTCAAAAATAGGGCATTTGGGCCCAGCAGGAGTGGCCCACTGGCTGGGTGTCCTCCCATGCACCAGCATCGATTACCCTGGGTTGTGGGTTCGATCCCTGCTCAGGAGCATGTGGAGGGTGACCGATGGATGCTTCCCTCTCACATCGATGTTTCTCTCTCCCCCTTCCTCTCTCTAGGCATGTCCTCTGGTGGGAATTAAAAAAAAAAAAATTAAAAACGGGGCATTTGGAAAAGTCACCAGATCCCTTCTTTGCTACTTTTGCTTAACTTTCCTGCCTTTACCCACATGGCTCCTTTAAAATCTGCCCCGCCTCAATGGGCTCCTTCAGTGACCCCATATTCACCTTGCAGGTATCCTTTCTTGGCTATCCAAGGCCCACAGTCCTATCCGGCCACCGCCTGGCCCGTGCCCCCCCC